GAGCTGGCGGGCAACGCGGCCCGCGACAACAAGAAGACGCGCATCATCCCCCGCCACCTGCAGCTCGCCATCCGCAACGACGAGGAGCTCAACAAGCTGCTGGGCAAGGTGACGATCGCGCAGGGCGGCGTGCTGCCCAACATCCAGGCCGTGCTGCTGCCTAAGAAGACCGACAGCCACAAGGCCAAAAGCAAGTGAAACAAACCTGAGGAGCGTTTCCACCTCAAAAGTAACCCAAAGGCTCTTTTCAGAGCCACCCACTTTTTCATTAAAGGAGCTGTATATCCTAGCAAAAGCAAAACAAAAATACCGAAATCTCAAGCAGCCCCCAAAAAGCCTTAAACGAAGCCAAATCCAAATCAAAAAATCCACCCCAAGCCCCTTATCTTTGCTCTTGAAAACGACATCATTAAATTAAAAAAAAAAGTAATATGTCAACTGCTGCTAGATACGTGCTAAAAACAGATTTATTTAATGTGAAATGAATCACTATTCTCGGGGGGAGGGGGGTGAAAAAGACAAAGTTTACTAATACTGTATGAAAAGAACTCACAACTCCATCAGGCCTCTTTTTTTCAGCTCATCCTTATGTGAAGCTCAGGTAGCTCTGATGTCTTGAAAAACAACCCCGACCCTCTAAACAATCTTAAAACCTACAGACTTATTGGTTTCGTTTTCTAGTGGGTTTTTTTGTATGTGTGTGTGGTGTGGTTTTTTTTTTTTTTGTGTGGGTTTTTGTTTGTTTGTTTGTTTTGTTTTGTTTTTTTAATCAGTGGGCATTCTGAATTATCAGTTCTCAATTATTTTGTTTTTTAAGAAAAAGTCTTTGTCTGATCTGTGAGACCATTTTCTGCCTCAAATTTGAAAGTTTGGGAATAACCGGTAATCACACTAGACAAGCAGTCTGAGGTGAAAATGACTGTTACCAGTTTTGATTCCACCTTATACATGGTGCTGAACATTGCCATAATTATGTTGAAATAGAAACAGAAAATTTCTCTTATTGGTCAAAAACCTTATTTTATAATTAACCATTTGAAAATATAAGTTACTGGAGTCGTAAATTCTAGTATCACCAACAGTTACACTAGCAAGTGGAGAGGTAACAAGGAGTTCTCAGGCCTTTGCAAAACAAAGGGTTGTACTCAATAATTAACATATCAGAGAATACTTATTTTAATTCTCTCTACTCTGAAAAACAATGTACATTTACTCTTAATTCAAGTGTGGTCTTGGCAAAGTGCAGCTGAAGACTGTCCCCCTCTTCCTAGCAAAGCCAGGTGTTTCAGTAAAGCAGATACACCAGCTGG